TAAAATCTAGCCTAGGAAAGAATAACTTTTTTTCGAATCTATTTTTTTGTTTTTGGAATTTTCTTAATTAATTTTTTTTTATTTTATAGAAAGAAAAATAGGGAGACTAAGCATGTCAAAATCACCGAAATGGTAGGGAAATTGATGACGGGCTGCTGAAAAATTTTCTGGGCACCTACAGGACACGGGGCTTGTCGGGCAGCACAACACAGGAGTATCGAGCAAATATGTAGGACACGGGGTCTGTCGGTCTTCACAGCATGGGAGTGTTAGGCAAATATGTACGACACGGGGCATGTCAGGCTGCACGACACGAGAAGTGTCAGGCAAATATGCATGACACGGGGAGTGTCAAAAAAAATATTCACAACACGAGGAGTGTCAAGCAAATATGCACGACACGATGAATGTCGAGCAAATATGTATAACACAAGGAGTGTCTGGCAAATATGCACGGCACAAGGCGTGTCGAGCTGCACGACACGGGACATGTCAGGCAAAGTAGTGAGCCCGGATTGAAATTCCAGAATCTCATGATGTTTTTTGGTGTTTTTATGACGCTTTTTAGACTTCTTTTTTTTTTTGGATTTGTTTCTCCTTAAACATGGACTGTAAAATTTTCAGAAAAAAAAAATTTAATGCAGAAAATACAGATTTAGAAGCTTTTAAGATGCCCCACAGTAGGCGCCAAACTGTTTATACTCCAATCCATGCCGATCTTTGGATGAGATCTGCTCAAATCTTAGCAAAACTTTTGTGAGTAGGGTTGCTCAAAATATGGGCCCAAGAATGGCACATATCTATTTAGATCTAATCCTTTCTTGGATCCAGTGGTAGTGCCAGCTTCCATATCTGTTTAATTTGCATTAAAAACTCTTTGAAAACTTTATAAACCAAAAATAATAGAAAATACAGGAAATGAAATTAAAGGAAAATTAACTAAAATTGAAGAAGGAAAGGGAACTTACCTCTGGGGACACGGAACCCGCAGTTTCGGGCTTGGATCAGACCGTTCTTCTTATTTGCACTACCTTGTCTTTTAGATGCCTATGCATGCTGGAATCAGTAGATCTAAAGTATTTTTACCTAGATCTAGGGCTCTAAGATAGGAGAAAAAGCTGGGAAAATTTTTGTAGTGTCCACTAGTAAGTTTTCTAAGGTTTTTGGAGGCTCCTAAGCTGGAATTTTCTAAGGGGGGGACTATTTTCAAGTATTTTTTGGCTATTTTTCTAATTTGTAGTATTTTTTAATCACTTTTCTGATATATTTTTGGGTTCTAGAGGGGGTATTTATAGGATTCAATTGGTGGATTTTTTCTGATTTTTTTTTAATTTCTTGCGAATTGTTTTGGATTTATCTTAACCGTTTTGGCTTTATCTATTAAAGAAAACACGTTTTTACTGCATCATCAGGAGTGACTGGGCTAGTGACGAGCTTTGGGGGCCTACCCAGCACACCACATGTCGGGCAGTCCTGCCCAACGCACCGTGTGTCGGGCTGCCCAACACACCCTTGTCGGGCAGCTGACACTGGCCCACTAAGCAAGGACCAATTGATTATTTTTTGGATTGTTTTATCCGTTGGTCCGATTCAGATGATTCTTAGACAGTTGGGAAGCTCTTGATGTCTAATTCGACTTGAGTTAGGTTTTAGGAAGTTTCAGAGCAATTATATTGGGTTTAGGTTGCCTATGGTCTACTAGGGTTTTTGTGGTCCTTTGAACTCAAAATCGAAGTTTTTAGGAATTCCCTTAGCCAAAATTTCGAAGGGGATGTCTACAGATATTCATGTCTAATCATCATCAAAATCTCTAATTTACGTTTTCTATTACATAAGCCCCGAGTGTTCCAAGATAATAATTTGATCATTTAGAAATAGAAGAGTTGTGCCTAGTAGCATATCTGTCTAGCAGACACAGAGTCAGACTCACCAGCCATCGTCTTCTTACCTATGCCACCACTTGTAGAAATAGCACCTCTTTTTATTGTTGCAATTCTACTGGATGAATCCTTCATCTCCCCTTGCCTTCTGTTTATTATCTTGCTCAATTATCAGGGCTGGGCAGAGCTTTTTGAGAAACATTTAACCATTCATTTCATCATAAACTCACTCATCAGAATACATGAGCCAAAAAGCTCAAAAACCAGTTATTACAACTTTATATGAAAGCAAAATAAAGATGAAAAACAAAAACAAGCACAAAATAAAACATTTAAATTCGCCAAAGCGACAGTTTTAGCAAGTCGATCGGCTTTCATATTTGATTCACGAAAAACATGACCAAATCTCACATTCAAATCTTCACATTCCACATTCACTTCTCTTACGAAACTATGTAATAGCCAAGGGAAATCAGCTTCTCTCTTTATCCACTTAATTGCATTAAGTGAATCTCCTTCGACCATACCTGATTTGTTAAATTACTTACCTAATTTAACACTCTGAAGCAATGATCTCAACTCCGATCTTGGTAAACGCCCGATGCTTCCTACGATCAATCAATTACATCAGAAATCAATTCAGGTGAAAGCCACTAAGTATGTGTAAGGTTCAAAGCAAAATCGGATTACTCGTCTCATCTCTCACAACCATGTTAACCCAACAACGACAACAAATAAACAATATTGAGAAAATATTACTTAAATCCTCAAACCACCTCACAAAATCAATTAAGTGGCATTCACTTTTTATGATTAACTACAAAATAAAAATATTTCTTTGCAAATTTTCCAAATTACACTTATTTAGTTTTGAGGATCTTGAACGACAAAGGCATTTTGATAATGTAGCTTCAAATTTGCTGGGGATAAATGAAACGATGACAATATCCCTGGCTGTTAAGGTTAGAAAAATGGAACAAGGGTTTACCATAGAAAAAGTGCGTTCCGCATCGCTAACCCGCATTGCTAACCCTAAATAGTCTGTGGCAATGGTTTAAAAAACGGATCGGTGATCCGAATCGGGCTTCCAAAAAACCGATCCGGATCGGCGAATCGGCGATCCGGATCGGGAATCAGGTGAATCGGTCAGAATAAAACTTAAAAAAAATCCGAAAAAATTATTAAAATTCATTATAAATATTGTTTTTTAGGAATTCAATAAGAAATGAGAGTACTCCATTAAGAATTTTCATGTTTTTGAATGAATATGCGAATATTGATATGTTCTTTCCCTGCATGAACCACCATTCAGCATTTAATTTACATCACACAAAAGGATAAACATATAATTATCATGGAATAAGTATATCAACATACATGGACTACAATAAAGCATAAAATTAGTAACATATGATCTAAAAATAAAATGATAGACGACGTTATTGTTCTTCTTGGCCACGCTGGTGCCATTGATTGAATTCGTTTAACAATTCATTGATTCGATCTAAAAACGAATCATCGATATTAGCAAGCGTCTGACTATTCCCAAATCCCTGAGTGTTAGTGTTTTGTTGTGTTCCCAATCTAAAATCCCCGAAGATTGTCCATCCTTCATGCTCACCTGCATTGTCGTGCTCATCCCTACACTGTTGTTGTTGGGACTCGATGTGTGAATAATATGGCTGGGATAGGGTGGCCTCAT